CCCCCCCGCTTTGTTTGAATTGCCTCTTTGAACCTGATCAGAAATAAACAGCTTGGATGACACTTCTACACATGGAGCAAGGTGCTTCTTGCTTCTTCTGCTCTTGCAGACCCAGTGGCTCACCTGCTTCTGCAAAAGCAGAGAAGCTGCAGCACTTGTTGGCAGGAATTAGTTCCACCCTCCAGACGTGAGCCCTGCCCTTCAAACGGCTACATCCTCACTCTGCACAAGAAATCACCAGAAATAAACAGCTTGGATGACACTTCTACACATGGAGCAAGGTGCTTCTTGCTTCTTCTGCTCTTGCAGACCCAGTGGCTCACCTGCTTCTGCAAAAGCAGAGAAGCTGCAGCACTTGTTGGCAGGAATTAGTTCCACCCTCCAGACGTGAGCCCTGCCCTTCAAACGGCTACATCCTCACTCTGCACAAGAAATCACCCTTGCTCTTCACTTGTGAGACCTCCTGGAATCCACACGCAGCACATCTACTGCCCAGAGTGCTCACTCATCCTCCCATCTTTGAGACTACCTAGATGGGTTGGCTGCTTTGCAAAACTGCACAGATTAAATGGATCGATAACTCCTCTGGTGATGGCTCTCTTATCAAGAGAAGGCTGCTTAGATGTCCAGCCAGAAGAGACAGCAGCAGGTCCTGGTTGCCAGGGGTGAATGCCATGGCACAGGGCAGTGCCCACACTCTGCCTGGGGAGTAGGGATGTTCAGGAGCCCGGGCACAGACTTGCCCTGAACTGCTGAATGGGACTGACTGCACCCAGCTGAGCCCCAGGCAGCTGTGGGACAGCAGAGCTGAAGCAGATTAAGGTTCCCAATCCCCCCTTGCTAGCCTCTACCCTTACAGACCTCAGCAGAATCTTGCAGACCACCATGGTCAGGGAATCCATACAATCACAGAGTAGTTTGGGTTCAAGGACACCCTTCTGCCTCACCTGCAGCTCACTGTCCCCTTGTCCCCTGGCACTGCTCTGCTGTACACCCAGGCGTTGTTTCGCCAGGCTTTCTCCGTGCATCAGAGCACCCAGGGGCTGGATCCTCTCTGCATCTTCCTGGAGCTCTGCCTTCCCCATCCAATAGTGAAGATTAAATCATCACATTACAGCAAACAGTGAGTCAACCACTGTCACTCTGCCCTTCCTTGCAAGAGTTGGTACAAATCACCATGTCTGTGCAGGGCCAGGTGCATCCCATTTCACATTTCTCTACAGAGAAACAGGTCATCTGGAAATAAACCTGAAGTAAGAGTTTGGCAAGTAGCACAATGGACAACATCAGAAACACTCAAGGTATGAGCCCTGCAAGCAGGACTGAGTCTTTGCTAAGCTCTCCCTGGAGCTTGGATCTCAACCCTGCAGATCCTGAAGATGCCACCCAAGCCCCGGGCTGCCGGCTCGCTCGGCGGTTCCGCAGCGCCTGCTCCGTGTGGAAGTGTCACCCCAACACACACAAAGTCCCAAACAGAAACAACATCATCCCCCCCTCCCCACAGCCCCTGTGCCTGGCCGCAGCCCCGGGTGCCCTCAGCACGGGGAACCTCACAGCAGCATCCTGGAGAGACCCGGGGAGCGGCTTCAGGGCTGAAAATATGGAAATTAAAAACATTCATCACTGAAGTACTACTGGTTCTGCAGCAACAGGTTTGGAAGTTACAGTAACGTTTATGCTCTGAACATCAGCTGTGGTCTGCAGAGGATGGCGAGACGTCTTCTGAAACACGTGCTGGAGTTACAAGAACCCTCACCAGAAACCAGCCCCTGTGCGAGGCTGCCCTGGGCTTCGTCTGACGCAGTGTCTCATAAACCCTCTCCTCAATCTGGCACAATTTGCAGTTTTTCTGGGTTTTGTTGGGTTTCCCCCAGCCCGGGTCACTACCCAGGCCATGGCCTCCTGGCTCACGTCCCCCGCAATGGAAAAATCAGGGTGAGGACACTGGCCACCCGCTCCAGGCAGGCGGGACATCAGCTGTAGCTTCTAGCAGCCTTTTTTTCCCTCAATGAATCATTACAAGAAGAAAATAATTTCAAAACGTAGAGCTTGATGTTTATAAAAGATCTACAAACCAGAATTTTCTTTATAGGATTCCTGGTGATCCATAAAATCCCACCCCCCTTTTCCCGTTAGCCATGGAGCAATGGGTATTTACAGCAGAACCAGGAGTGGGGCAGGAAAACACACACACGGGGGTTTGTTGCAAACCAGCCAAACTGGTGTGTGCTGAGAGAGGAATCCCAGCCTCTGGCTCCGAGGGTGCTCAGACTCAGGGCTCATCCTGCTGCGAACCCAAGGGTGAGGCGGAGTTGGCACCTGCTCCCCTGCCTGCCCCTGCCCTCCCCTGCCTGCCCCAGCCCTCCTGGCATGGCTCTGCCTCACTAACAGCTGCTGGAATTGCCTCTTCTGATTCCCTGCTTTTTGAAATGATGCCAAAGGTCCTGGGTTGCTGGATAAAACCCCCAGGAATTTTGGTTGAGACCAGGTAAATTGAGATGCCTGTGACATTCATAGGGTTTGAGCCTTGAAGATAATAGCAGAGGGTGTAAAGTAGAAAAGTTTCGGTTATAAATAGCCCTCAGTGCAGCCCGTTCATAGCGGGCATATTTCCAGTTGGTAAATTGTAAACCGAGAATATAAATGTGTTTTGTTTTGGTAGAATATTAATATCCTTTACAGAGCTGTTAAATTTCGACAGTGCCTGTGAAAAAACAGGAGAAAGATTTATGAGAGTGCTGACAGAGTGTATCAAAACTGCAAACTGTTCCAGATGTTTAAAAAAAAAAAAAAAAAAAAAAAAAAAAAAAAAAAAAAAAAAAAAAAAAAAATCCCACCTTTCCCTTAGAAAAAGATTTTCTCTGGTTTACAAGAACTGGCATGGAATTGGTTTGGAGTCCTGATGCCCGAGTGCAGGAAAGGCCGAATGGCAAGGGGCAGGCTGGTGGGGCAGGGGTGGCTTGGGAGAGCTGGGCTGACAGTATGTACAATGCCTTTAAAAATAGATGTCTATAAGCAGATTTTTCCACACTGATCAAATGTACCCATGTCTTGAACAAAAGGCTCCTCTAAGACAAGCTCACAGTCATCGCAAGCTTCAGCACAACGGTTTAAGATATCAACCATGCTTAGCATTCAACAGACACGATTTGAGAGTAGCTAGGGGCGCTGGGAGCTCAGCATCCGGTTTCAAAAATTACAGAGACTGTAGCAATTTGGTATAATTCTGTTTTAAAACTCTATTAGTCACCACCAACTATAGCTCCTAGAAGTATTACTGACCATGAACTCGGACCCCAGACATCTCCAGCTAGGGAAACCAAGCCAGCGAGTGACACAGACATAGAAAGGCCTCCTAAAAGAAGCGGTCGGCGTGTTTGGCGTGAGGGGTGTGTCTGCTACTCCCGGAAGACTAGTGTGGTATGTACAGGGCGTCTGGAGCGTCGGGCTGCGAGGAGAGGGCGGCGGCCGCGCCGCCACTACACGTTAATGACAAACTCGGGGTTAGTGTAGGAGAATCCAGCAAACTCGTTCTGGTCCAAGTTCATGATGAAGAGTTTGTCCGTGGGCGTGAGCTCCACCGGCTGCCGGGTGAACTCTTTGTCGAAGTTGGAAGTGTCTCGTTTGTCCTTCTGTTGAAGGGAAAGGACAGAGTTAGATGTGGGTGGTGGGGGAGCACAAGCCAGCCAGCCAGCAAGAGGGGCAGCACCAGCTGCGTGGCTGGGAGGGCTCTGCTGTCCCCAGGGGAGTTCTGCTGTCCCCGGGCTCCGTGCCCAGCACTCAAGATCTCCACACCAGCTTTGGAAGCCGCCGCTGATGACTACAGCCGCAGCCAGGTTGTGACAGCCCCTGTACAATAGAAGCAACCACCCACCACGGCAAAACCACAAGAACACCAGTTTAGCACCTTGAAACAGACAACCAGACAGGAAAGGGAGACAGAGGGAGCCCGGGGTGCTGGGGAGGGCTGCGGTGCTGCCAGGCAGAGCATCCCTCCTCTCCTGGCTGCTGCAAGAGAGAGCAACCGAGCATGCAAAACCATCACTGCAAACAGTCGTCACACACAGGAGGAAAGAGCCTGGAGGAAGCAACACGCCTCAAAAGGGAAGTAAACAGTCAGTAAGATTTCAACATTTTTACAAAATAATCAGCTCTAAGAGCTCCTTTCACTTTAAGCTTGATTTTTTTTTAAATTATGCTATGATATGGTATTGACCAACGTGGTGTTTTCATTGATGTGAGGATGTGATTTGCTCCAGGGTTGCATATAGAAAGTATCCAGTAGTTCAAACCTTTAAAGAATGAAAATTCCACATATGCAACCTCTTATAATTTTAACTGCATAACAAGAACTTTGCTGCTACGTCCAAGCCAAACAAGGAGAAAAAAAAGAAAGTTATTGTCCTGATTAGCACAGGTAACCTGCTCCAAGCCCCACAGAGCCCACGAGTTCCAAGGAGCTGGAGCACAGCCATTCCCAGCCCTACCCCACCATTTCCAACTACCCAAAAAGACTGTACCCCAGAGGGGGGAAGTGTGGGAGACCCACAGGGTCCACCCCAGGGCCAGACAAGCCTCTTGGCAGAGTATGGCCTTTTTCCCACCACTTTCTGTGGTGTCACCAGGAGGAGCAGCCTCCCCTGTGTCCCACCTGGAGGTGACCTTCCACTGATGTGACCCTGTCATACATGGTGCCCTGCAGAAACCTGCAGAATGGTCTTTGTTTTAGATTCTGCCTTTGAATCAAGGCCCCAAGGTGCTGGGAGCTGTGCCTGGGCTCTGCTACAGCCCTGAGGGGTGTCTTCAGGGTCCCCCACCAACTGTGCCATCACCAGATTCACAGTAGGGACCGTGGGGGCTGGTCTGTGCCCCTCCCCTGCTCCCACCCTCCATGCACCCAGCAGCACCTTTGGTCCTGCCAGCTGCCCCTGCCCAGGGATGCTGGGCAGAGCCAGTGGCACCTCCACACCTTGGAGTGTGGCTGGAATGTGACCTGTCCTGTCCTCCTCCTGTCCCCCCAGCTGGGAGCAGGCCATGGTGTAGCTGGATTTGGGGATGAGCCCCAGTGCCAGTGGTGGACCAGGACCTCCACTTGCTGCAGGAAGGATCCTGT